GATGATCCAAATGATTTATGAAATCTCACCAGATTGCACTATTTCGCCAATCCTCCCTCCAATCGGCCGTTTCGTTCCCTCGTGCACCTGATTTTCCTTCTCTCAAAGGTTGGTAGCTTTGACATTGTTTCCAAAGGTTTAGAGACAGATGGTTTTACAGAAGTTGTTGTTTGTTATTAAGCGCAAAGCTACACAAAAAGCTATCTGTACTTTCCCCACACGAGTATCGAAACCCGGTTTCTAGCGGTATAAGTCCGCAGACATACCGCTCTGCCACTGGGGGGCGTTGTATAGAAAGCTGAAATGTTATGGTTTAAATTTGTAGTAGCGTATCTTATATGTATAATAGCGATGGTTGGACGAGCGACGATTTGAGAAGTTACCAGATATTTGGATTAGTTAGGCTATTTTCTACAACGTTCTATAAAGTTAAAGATTAAGAATTTACCGCATTTGAAATTGTCTGTAAACAAAAATGAAAAAATAAAGATTACTCAAAATAATATATTAATGAGACACATAATACTAAGATAAGTAATGAAATGTCTGCTAGAGGGCGATGGTCATTAAGCAGGTAGGAAATTTTAATTTTGTGTAAACTGATACTCCGAGTTAACAATAGGACTGTACGGTGTATTTCTATTAGGCCTAGTGTGAGAAGTTCTATATTTCGTATTAATATTACAAGGTCGTTTAATACGTCCTTTTTCTCTCTTCCATTTGATTTAATTTCAAAGAAGTGTAAAAGTGTATGACGATTGACATTTGAAAAAAACTCGTTTTCGAAACGCGAGAAAAGTAAAACCAAAAGTAAGTGTAAAGTTAGGTTTTTGTACGTCTGTTCTTGTTTCTTTGTTTTTGAATTTCGCGCAAAGCTTCACGAGGGCTATCTGCGCTATCCGTCCCTAATTTAGCAGAGAAAGACTAAAGGGAAGGCAGCTAGTCATCACCACCCACCGCAAACTCTTGGGCTACTCTTTATCACCATCACTTTATAACATACCCCACGGCTGAAAGGGCGAGCATGTTTGGTGGGATGGAGATTCGAACCACCCTAACCACCTGGCCATGTCTGTTCTTTAGTTTAAATACTGTTATAATTTAGTTATTAATTTATTAAACCTACTGAAATTTACTTTTTTGTATCAACTTGCAACAATTTAAAGACCAGGTAATGAGATATCATTCTGCTAATGCTGCTATCATTATCAAAGGTACAAGTACCGATACTTGAGAAACAGCCTTTAGTCCAGTCACGCTCGTAAAATCAGGAAATTATCCTGTTACGTGAAACCTTCATCTTATACTTAATTCTGCCATCAAGCCAATTTTAGCTTTCTTAAATAAAAGAGCAGACACTCTTATGTTATGCTAAACAGAAAACACCACAGTTAACTTGGTTTTAAATCTGTTAACTCATATTTCTATAGTTTCTTTTAGCTATCTGTAAAAAGTTAAATAATTATGAAAGAGGTTAGTATAATGGGTATATATATACACTATACAGTAACCTATGATTACAAGGAGCAGCATGAAATATACATAGAAATAACCCGATGTGAATTAATGGTAAAAAATAGTTTATATTAAAGCATTAAACATTTTTTCTAGTGGTGAAACGTTAAAGTATTACTTACAGCTGCACCAAAATTAGAGATAGTTCTGGAAAGGACGATTCATATTTGTAGATTTTCAAGACAACTTACTAATAATTATTTGTGAAGTATGCATTCATTAAAGATGATAAAATTATTTTGTGCTTTAGATTGCTATAACAAAGCTTCTTCTGAAATGATACTGGCAGGGTATGAAAATATATATTTAAGCACTCGATGACGAGGAACCCACTTGGAGACTAATAACAATTGGAGATGGCTTGAATGGGTAATGAAGAAAAACTTTAATATAAGTTTAACACGACAGCAAATGTACAACATTTCGACAAGGTTTTGTAATCATCAGGTACCAAACCAATGTACAAAACCTTGTTGAAATGTTGTACATTTGCTGTCGTGTTAAACTTATATTA